TGGGCGGCTCGGCGGCTCGGCTGCTGGGCGGCTAGGCTGCTGGGCGGCTCGGCTGCTGGGCGGCTAGGCTGCTGGGCGGCTCGGCGGGGCCGCTGAGAGGGCGGCGTCCGGGGCCGCTGGAAGGAGGCGGCGGGGCCGCTGAGAGGAGGCGGCGTGGCCGGAAAGGTAGGTGGTGGGGCCGCGTCAGGGGCCGCGACAGGGGCCGCGTCAGGGGCCGCGTCAGGGGCCGCGGCAGGGGCCGCGTCAGGGGCCGCGACAGGACCGCGGCAGAGCCGCGTCAGGGCCGCGTCAGGGGCCGCTTCAGGGCCGCGGCAGGGGCCGCAGCAGGCCGCGTCAGGGCCGCGTCAGGGGCCGCGGCAGGGCCGCGTCAGGGCCGCGGCAGGGGCCGCGTCAGGGCGCCGCGTCAGGGGCCGCGTCAGGGCGCCGCCAGGGGCCGCGGCAGGGCCGCGTCAGGGCCGCGTCAGGGCCGCGGCAGAGCCGCGTCAGGGCCGCGTCAGGGGCCGCTTCAGGGCCGCGGCAGGGGCCGCGGCAGGCCGCATCAGGGCCGCGTCAGGGGCCGCGGCAGGGCCGCGTCAGGGCCGCGGCAGGGGCCGTGTCAGGGCGCCGCCAGGGGCCGCGTCAGGCCGCGTCAGGGCCGCGTCAGGGCGCCACCAGGGGGCGCGTCAGGGGCCGCGATAGGGCGCCGGCAGGGGCCTCGTCAGGGCGTCGCCAGGGGCCGCATAGGGGGCGCGTGGGAGGCGGCGTAGGGGCCGCGTAGGGGCAGCGTAGGGGCCGCTAAAAAAAAATTTTAGGGCAGGGCGCAATGGGCGCGGGCAGCTAAAAAAAAAAAATTCTTATGGTGGGCCCTTAGGAAGGAACGGTCCCATGTAGGAACCCGCTCTATACCATGTGAATCAAGAAAACAGGAATGAAATGACTAAGTGAAAGTTGGGTACAAAAAGGCAAACCCTAGGCAACTGTACCCCATATGTGCTACCCCACTATAGCCTACAGTAGCTATGTCATATAACTCTGACACTTGGAAAGTCGTTCCCATCAGTGTGGCGCGGAACAAAACGATTCTCACTGGAAAGTGGGTTTTCCGAGTGAAAACAAAAGCAGACGGCACCATCGACATATTCAAAGCACGCTGGGTCGTACGTGGCTTCGACCAAGAACACGGACGCGACTTCACCGAGACATTCGCTCCGGTCAGCCGACATACCTCACTGCGAATTCTCCTCGCGATCGCCGCCATGAAGAAAAAGAAGTTGCGACAAATCGACGTCGCAAACGCATTTCTCTACGCACCTGTCGACGCAGAAATCTTCGTCGAGTTACCGCACGGCTCCAATGGAGAGCCCAATTAAGTCTGTCAGCTGCTGAAGTCGCTCTACGACATCAAGCAAGCTCCGCGGCTATGGCAACAATACCTGCACGCTCGCCTCATTCGCATCGGCTTCAAACAACTACCGCATGATCAGGGGATGTACCGGCTCACGAAGAACACCGACTACATCCTGTTAATTGTCTACGTAGACGATCTATTCTACATCGGCTCGACCGACGGCATCACAACCTGGTTCGAAGGGGAGCTGCAGAAAGACCTCACGCTCACGGTCTCAACTACCGTCACACAGTACCTCGGTCTCAACATCCGAGAAGAGGAAGACGTGATCTACCTCAGTGCCGCAAAATACGCCGACACCATCGCCAAGCGCTTCGCACTCACACCGACCGCCATCTCCACACCGTACCGCTACACGACAGGAAACAACAAGGGAAGCTCCGCTCTACTTAAGCCTCCCGGCATACGCGACTACCAAAGGAAACTGGGCTGCCTCCTCTTCGCAGCTGTCACCTGCCGCCCGGATCTATCGTATTCTGCAAGTCAGCTCGCCACCTACCTCAAGAAGCCTGAAGCAGAACATCTGGCGGAGCTCGACCGCGCTCTTCACTACCTCGTCAGCACCCCGACGATCGGCCTAACTTACTACAAGAACGCAACTACACCGCCCAAGTTAATCGGCTACGTTGACGCCGATCACGCTCGCGACTCCGACAACAGGCGTTCCCGCACCGGCTACATCTACCGCCTCGAACCTATCGGACCTATCTCTTGGCAGTCGAGCAAGCAGGAATTAATCGCCCTCTCGTCAGCTGAAGCAGAATATATTGCACTCTGTTCAGCCACCAAGGAAGGACTTTACCTTCGCGAACTGCAGGAAGAAGCGAAACTGGCTCAGTTACCCAACTTCACCCTGTTTTGCGACAACCAGTCGGAAATTCGCATCGCCAACAAGAACGGCTTCGCGAACAGGACGAAACATATCGCCCTGCGATATTTCTTCGTAAAGGACGAGATCGAGAAAGGGAGGCTCGAGCTGTCATACTGCCCCATGTCCGAAATGGCAGCTGACTACTTGACCAAGAAGCTCGGAAAGCAGAAGTTCGAGTACTGCATGCTGCTGACTGGACAGAGCCACGTCACCAGCAGCGACACTCCAGAAGCGAAGGGGAGTGTTGGAAACAATCGGTCTTAAGCGCCTCTATCGTGTCGAAACACCAAGACACAAGCGAAGCAAAGCATATCGAGGCACCAGCGAGTCAACCCTCGGAGGTTGAAGTAACTGCTGGAGGTTACGCGAAAGTCAAAGGTCAGCGACCTTTGACCTGACAAGTACAGCGCGACAGCAAGGACACACAACTGACTCGCTACAGAGCAGTTGCCCGAGTCGTCACTGTATCGAACCGCAACAGCAACAGTAAAACAGTTATAACTGTATCCCTTCATATTCCTTGTACTCTTATATAATCTTGTATCTCTTTGTTTTTAATCAATCTACTTTGCCCTCACATACTAGCGCAAGGTGGTTCACAATACTTCATTAAAACCCGCGTCTCATATTTTTTGTTTCCAACCAAAGGTAATACGCTTGAAACCGGGTAACCAAACAATCACTCGCAAAACACTCGCGTTTGGTTTGGCGCAGGTGCGATTGGCTGGCAAACCAAACAGTTTGGTAGGTGCAGGTGCCTGACCACCAAGCCGGGTTTGCGAGAAACAGGCAACTGCGTGTGCGACGGACTGAGAATGGGACACACAGCCCACAACCGAGCGTATTACAGAGCTGGAAAAATATGAGACTGCAAACCTTGACAGGTTGTAGGTGGAGGAACATACTTGCACCGATTTCTCTAGCGACTAAGTCTCATTTCAGCATCTTATTTTCCCTAGGTATATTCCAGCGTCAAACGTGACAATACGTTGTACTTCTCGTTGGTCACTCCGCGCCTGCTTTTACTTTTACGCACGTACAGTCCGTCCATCGCCAGAGCTGGTCCTCATTATTGCAATAAGAACACTGTATTTGGACCAAGGTGTATTGCAGTAACGCCCCCCCCCTGTCGAATTTGGACGGAAGGGACACGACGGAAAGGCAGCAGTTAGGACGAGATAGGAAGCGACACGACGGAAAGGCGAGGTTTAGGACGAGATAGGAAGCGACGCGACGGAAAGGCGAGGGTTAGGACTGGATAAGCAGCGACGTGACATTACAGGAAGCGACGCGACATGGCTGGAAGCGAAGAGAAAGGGATGGGCGTGATGCGAGGTAAGGGGAGAGCCGGGACGGGAAAGGGAGGAACGGGACGGGATGCTACGAGAAGGGGTGTGGCGGGACGGGCGCGAGAATGGGAGGGAAGGGACTGGAGGGGAGGTAGTGGGTGAGAAGGACGTCCGGGATGCGATGAGAAGGACGTGAGGGACGCGACGGGAAAGGACGGGACGGGACGGGACGGGACGGACTTGACGGGACGGGAAGGAAACGAGATGTGAGGGGACGGGACGGGACATGACGGAACGGGATGGGACGGGACATGACGGGACGGGATGGGACGTGATGTATGACGGGACGGAACGGGAGGGAACGCGGAGCGGGACTGGCGGGAGGAAACGTAGGAAACGCGCCCATCCCCATCCCCCTTTCCCTTCCCGCATCCCCTTTCCCTTTCCCCATCCGCCTTCCCCTCCCCCATCCCCCTTCTCTTTCCCCATCCCCCTTCCCTTCCCGCATCCCCTTTCCCTTTCCCCATCCCCCTTCCCTTCCCCCATCCCCCTTCCGTTCCCCCATCCCCCTTCCCTTCCCCCATCCCCCTTCTCTGACCACATCCCCTTTTCCTTCCCCACACCCTCCTTTCCCTTCCCCGATCTTCCATTTCCTTTCCCTATCCCTCATCCCTTCCCCACATCCCCCTTTCCTTTCCCATGTGTCCCAATATCCCTTTACCCATCCCCCATCCCTTCCCCGCATCCTCCTTTCCCTTCCCCCATCCCTCATCCCTTCCCTCATCCCCCTTTCCCTCCCCCTCTGCTATCACCTTCTTTTCTCTTTCTGCTACCACCTCCCTTCCCCCTCTGCTGTCACCTCTCATCCCGTGCTACCAGCTCCTCCCATGCAGCCAACACTTTGCCAACCCTTCCACCTGTTTCCCCTGCTTTCACTTCCCCCCTTCCTACCTGCCTCCTTTCTTTCCCCATGCCATGCCTCACCTCGCTTTCCTCCCATGCCTCACCTCGCTTTCCTCCCATGCCTCACCTCGTTTTCCTCCCATGCCTCACCTCTGTTTTCCCACTTGTCTCCCCTCTGCTTCCCCCCTTTCTCCCCCCTGTTGATGTGCTTGTTCCAGCATGGCGCGAAAAGAACCAGTTGATCCTCTCTTTCGTGACTAAAGCGTAGATTTAAATCACAGTTGTTCGCAAAGTAGGCTTGCCAAACCCACCTAGTCTCTTGTCTTTCATAGCATATTACACTTGATGCTGAGAGTGCTTCAATGCATCCATTCTTGAAGTAGCAATTGCGCACAGCACTGATGTAAAGAACTTATTGAATGTATATACACTTGTGTTATAATTGAAGATACGGGGTACATCTTTCCTCTAGCACCGGTCTCGCCTTCGTGTATCTGGCCGTGCATCTGCTTCTTGCCAGTCCCTTCCGTTCCGCCAGGCTCGCCTGTGACTAGCTTAGACCTGCTAGTAACTGGAACAAAGGGAGGGGTGACGGGAGGAATGAAGGCTCCAGGGATGAGAAAAAGGGCAGTTGAGATGTGAAGGAAGAGAAGTGGTAAAAAGGGGGAACGGGGAGAACAGAAGAGTGTAGGGGTGATGCAAGGAAGGGAGGCTGGCACGCAAGATGGGAAGGAAGGGAGGGCAGATGAGAAGAATGGGAGAGGGGATGAGAAGTAAAGGGGCAGGAGATGGGATGGCATAGTAGGGGAAATGAAAAAAAAGGAGGGCAGATGGAGAAGGAAAGGGCTGTCCACTCTCATGGCCGCCACCACAACACTCACCCTCCCCACCTCCACCTCCCACTCCCCCTCCCCTTTCTCTTCCACCCCCCTCTCCCCTCTCTCTAACAGCAAATGTTGCCTCATCCCTGTCCCACACCCTCACCTTCCCCCGCTACCCTGTCGTTCAAGCGACTGTGGAGGGGAGTGGCAGCGATGGGGAAGGGGAGTGGCAGCGATGGGGAATGGGAGTGCCAAGTTTGCTTGGGCCATGCCTTGACCTGTTTGCAGCTGGAGCAGAGGGAATTGGCACACGTGCTGACTTGTATGCCAAACGGTAAGAGAAGGGAAGGGCATGGAGGGAAGGGCATGGATGGGGAGGAAGGGGAGGGGAGTAAGAGGAGGAAAGGATGGGGAGGGAAGGTAGGGAAGAGGGGAGAGGTTCTTGGACGGATGCAAAAAGGGGGGACGGGAAGGCAGAGAGTGGTGGTTGGAGGCATAAAGGGGAGATGAGATGAGGAGGTCGAAACGAGGGGAGAAGAGGTTAATAGGGGACGGATGGGGGTGGAAACGAGGGGAGAAGGGATTAAATGGGGACGGATGGGGGTGGAAACAAGGGGAGAAGAGGAGATGGGGAGGTGGGATGAGAAGATGGGGAGGTGGGATGAGGAGATGGGGAGGTGGGATGAGGAGATGTTGAGGTGGGATGAGGAGATGTTGAGGTGGGATGAGGAGATGTTGAGGTGGGATGAGGAGATGTTGAGGTGGGATGAGGAGATGTTGAGGTGGGATGAGGAGATGTTGAGGTGGGATGAGGAGATGTTGAGGTGGGATGAGGAGATCGGGAGGTGGGATGAGGAGACGGGGAGGTGGGATGAGAGGGCAGGCGTATGGCCTAAGCGAGAGAAGCGCTATGGTGAGGGGAGGGGTGATGGACGGGAAGGGAGGGGAGATGGGAAAGAAGAATGGCGAGAAGGAAAGGGCAGATGGAGAAGGAAAGGGCTCTCCACACTCATGGCCCTAAACACAGCACTCAACCTCCCCACCTCCCACTCCCACTCCCCCACCTCCCACTCCCACTCCCCCTCCCCTCTCTCACCATCGCCCACACTCACACCCTTTTCACCTTCCCCTGCTCGCATACACCTCAGCTTCGGGCAGGATAGCTAGCAGGGTGAGCGCGTGGCGAGGGCTGGCTAGCAAGCAAGCCTTGCTACAGACATGAGGAAAGTTGGTGGAGGAGGGGGTGAGGGTGAGTGACCAGTAAGGGGAGGGGGAGGGGGATGGGGCAGCAATCACAGCACAAGGAACATGGTGAAGGTTCCTGGAATGTTACCGGATGGAATGAAAAGAGGGCGAAAGAGGGGCGGCGGGTGCTGGAGGGTGGGAGTCCAAGGAGAGGAAGTGTTGGAGAAGTGGGAGGAGTACGAGCATCATCGCTGACGGAAGCGTGTGCGGCAGCAGGGGAGGGGAATGGGTTGGTGGAGGGGTGGGAGAGGAGCGAGCTGCCGATGGCGTGGATGGGCTGACCTGAGAACAGCTCCGGACGGGAGGAGGAGAGGGTGAAGGGGAGAGAGGAAGGGGGGAGGGAGAGAGGGAAGGGGAGAGAGGGAAGGGGAGAGAGGGAAGGGTAGAGAGGGAAGGGGAGAGAGCGAAGGGGAGAGAGGGAAGGGGAGAGAGGGAAGGGGAGAGAAGGGGAGGGGAGAGAGGGAAGGGGAGAGAAGGGGAGGGGAGAGAGGGAAGGGGAGAGAAGGGGAGGGGAGAGAGGGAAGGGGAGAGAAGGGGAGGGGAGAGAGGGAAGGGGAGAGAAGGGGAGGGGAGAGAGGGAAGGGGAGAGAAGGGGAGGGGAGAGAGGGAAGGGGAGAGAAGGGGAGGGGAGAGAGGGAAGGGGAGAGAAGGATCAGAATACATACAGGTGCACACCCGCACGCACGCACGCGCACGCACACACGCATGCACGCACGCACGCACGTTCGCACGCACGCACGCACACACCCGTACGCGCAGGCACGCGCGTGTGCGCACGCACGCACGCACGCACGCGCACGCGCGCACACGAACGCACGCACGCGTACGCGTACGCGCACGCAAACGCACACGCACACGCGCACGCACGCACGCACGCACAACCGCACGCACGCACGCACGCGCACGCTCGCGCACGCACGCACGCACGCATGCAAGGACGTACGCGCACACAAGCGCACGCAAACAAGATTTCACACACACCCCACACATATGCCACTCGCACACAGACCCAGGACGGCAGAACATTTCACGTACTCGCGCTTGGCGTGCGCATTCTGAAATGCGACATCATAGCTGTGAATAGCAGAGTTAGAACGCATTTCGGAATGTCACGAACTGGCTACTTCGTAACAAGCGATGGCGTTGCGACGGTTCCCGACATTGGACGATTCCTTACTCGCCAATTAGTGCGTTATCCGCAACCAAAAATTGTTCGCAAGTCCCCTGTTATCTGGTCCGAAAAGGGCTATAATAGACTGCTATATCCCTGTTGCTGTGATAAGGCCAGCATCTTGGTGTGGAGGTACATACCTAGGCACCATACTAAGCGGAGGCAGTAAAACTGGAAGATGAGAGTTTTGCTCTGCTTTTCCTGGTGAATGTGGGCGACTTGTGTCTTGTCGTTTCAGTTGGTCGCATGGAACTGCCGGATCTGTTTTCTAGGTGTGGGAGCTTTCCATGCCTGAGGGGCTTGTTTGGCTTTTGCGTAGACGAACCGAGGGGTCGCTTGTGTTTTCCAAACTGCTCGTCACAAATCTCGCCTATCGTTACCCAATCACATGCGCTTTAGCCCAACCAAGTGTAATACACTAGGAAATATGAGACTCGGGTTTTAAACGCTTCCGCTATTTCATCAGTCCTACTCAGAGTTCATCCCTGCAAAGATCCTAAGGGCCTCTTCAGCCCAGCAAGAAGCACGCAGTATCGAGAACGAATGCGAAGAGTCAGAATTGACTCGAAGCGTCAGACGGTTAGGGTGCATCTGGACCGTCGGAGCAGACGGCATCGGGCAGCTGCAGGCAGGAGGGTTTCAGCGGGAACAGTTCGTAACTGTACGAACCGCACGGTAGGGAATGAATCTGAATAAGGGAATGTACCCCTTAGAGTACATGGCTAGCTAGGTCTATTCGTCTTCCCTGTACTCATTTTTATATTTGCTGTATTTGCATGTTTTAATCATCTCAAGCATTTTACATTCACTCTGCTATTGAGGTCAAGGGCCCACCAACTCTACTTCTCTACTTGCGAACCTTCCCGAGTAGACCCTGGCAGCGATCAACAGCTGATCGCAGCAGCAACTTCAATCATGTACAATTTTCTAAGCTTCTATAGAAGTCTTAGGGCGATCAGCAAAAGTACTCTAAGAACGTATGAACTAACTCTTATGCAAATACTATAAATTAATTTGATTTGAGCATATGAAAATCAAACTCAAATAACCCTTTCCTTAAAAATCAGCACCAGTCACCAGCTTCGCCGTTTTAATTTCGTGGGCATGCAAGGCCATTTCCTTGAGAATTGACAGCCAGTCAATCTCTACGTGTATGCCGACAAACGTATCTCCGATAACACGTCAGGGCGAGTCGGACTTCGCCATCGGTTTCGCAGCTAGATCTACACCCCACGTCTTCGTTCGCTTGCACGCGTGAGCGTGCAATCGTCAAGGATGGCTGATGGATTTTGTAAAAAGATGCGAAATGAGCACTGCACCGCACCGCACTCAAACATCGATTGGTGGTTGGTTTGGGAGAACCTTCAACTTCACCGTGTACAGTGCGTATGTGGATTGCTTGTGTCACCAGATCCCGTTACGGCCAAGATCACGGCTGTGCGATGAATACAAACACCGACCATCAGTGGACCTCTCTTTCTGGGCAGCTACACCTGGGCTCCGATAACTTCAAAAAGTGGGCACCGAGCAGCGTCCTTGTCGTTTTGCCCTGGGGTTGAAATTGGGGGGAACAATAAAGTTCCCTCCGATTTCAACACTCTCACGAAAAATGTAGGGGTTTCTGACTCTTCTGAACTCTTCGAGAGCGGTTGTACTCGGTTTAGGGTATCGGAGGGTTGTTGGGTGGACCGAACCGCTCTCAACCAGGAGCCACAGGCGACGACAAGGGTCTTGAAATTGGAGGGAATGAAATTATCGGAGCCCAGGTGTATACTCAACCTGGCTTTCAAGCTGCACGTAAGCTAGAGACAAGGAGGCAAACCGCTTGTAATATCTCAACAGAGAAACGGCTCCGCCCAGAGGAGCTCGCTGCCCGCGGGCAAAAAATGAACCCATATGGAATGGCATCAACCCTAAACACCTTGTCCCATTGTGTTTAGGGATGAAGCCTCTCTTGGATGCATGCCATCTGTGGTGAAAGTTGTGGGTGTGAAATAGGTTTCAAGTGAACGAATGGCTGGTATTGTTAGGCGTGGTACGAATGGGTAAAGTAGGAAGAAAACACGAACGATTTGGGCAGGCAATTCGATTTTGCACCAATGCTGTCTGTTGACCACTGTGCGGATACGTACAGTCAAAATTTTATGCGTTTCTTCGTCGAAATTCGTCAGGGTGGAAATGGAATCAAAGCAGCAGATTTGTCAGGCTCTGGACAAATATGACTAATGTGTCAACGTGTGCACAGAAGTAGTACTGGATGTCAAAACAAAATCTCTTCTGTGACTTCAAAACGTACCATTTCCGACACATTCCGTCCGCAGCATTTCTCATCTGGGGTTAATTTCGGTGCTTCTGTTACACGCTTTCGTTCTGGAATCTTGTGGTAACCGAATGAAATCAGGGCTCTGGTTTCCACACAACCCCACCAGCAGCCCTTGTTTCCCACCTGTGATTCTCACAGGCTCATCCTGTCATTTCGTGTTCAAGAGAACCAGCTATCAGCCGTCCTTTCTCCAGCTAGCTGAACCAGAACCTTTCCCCATGGGCTCCGTAACTGCGGCTGTTCGCAGTCCAGAAATCTCACCTTCCGATCTCCCTCCCGATTTAGACTGGCCACTCGCTGCCCTCCCTGCATTGTGCTCTCGCTGCCTGCGAACTCAATCCCCTGGCGAATCCCGTTCGTTCGATCGCGAGCGTATCTTGAGCACCACAGCCGCCCTCGGGCTAAGCCCACGACGAACTCGCGTGAGGCGATATTCTCCCAGCACTTCTCCCCAATCCGCGGAAGGATCATGGGCGGAAGCTGTCGCAGCCGGAAGGAGAAAACACGGCGACTCGGCGTTGTCTCCCTTGGGATCCGGTTCCGCCTCCACGCTACTTTCCCCGCCCAGCGAAAACCCGTGGCGCCCCGCCGCGCTGACGGCGGTGCGCGGCAGCCCGCTCGGCGGATCCGCGCGCCAGGCGGCAGCCACAGCGATCGACATGGAGCAGTTATGGGCGGAGGCCGCCTCCGACGAAGCAAGCGGCGCCGCGACGGCGCGGCGCACCCGCAAAAATCGTATAGTTCGAGGTCGCGCGCGAAACATGTCGTTTTCCGACTTCAGCTCGCTCCGCGGCGCGTTGGGAGAAGAGAAAGCGCCGGGGACTCCCCGGAGAGCGGACGCTGCCTTCGAATGCCGCATGATTGGCTGGAGCCCCCGCCCTCCGCCGTGGGATGGAGAAGATTTGACGGTCTTCGCCGAGCCGAAGCAGGACAGCGGCGCCACCGCTGCAGCCGCGAGGCCGTCTATAATGAGCCGACGTCCCGCCACGGCGGCGGCGATCCGCAACTTCAAGCTGAAGCTGCGGATTTTCCCCAACCGCGGGCGGGATGATTCTTCCGCCGCATCTTCTCCTTCAGCAGCAGTTGTGGTTTCTCCAGCGGCGGCGACCCCTGCTTCCGCCGGCGCTCTCACGACCACTAATAAGAGTCCCAGCGGCCGCCGTTGGAGTCCCGGTACGGTTTTCGCCGCTTCCCCGCGGGCGTCCCGTTCAGAAGGAAACGTCGTGCCACCGGAAGGATCCAGCGAGGGCGTCCCGTCGCCAAGTCGTATCAAGCCGCGCAACAGTCTGAGTTTGTTGAGAGGGGTGGCGGGATCCGCTGGCGCCGGCGCCACTGGCAGCGGGGCAATTCCGAAGTCTTGGTGGCGGGAACCAGCAACGGGAGGTGCGGCAGGAGGTGCGGCAGGAGGTGCGGCAGGAGGTGCAGCGGGAGGTGCGGCGGGAGTTGCGCCAAGGCGGAGAAGCTTCGAAGACGCTGAGCCCGCGAAGGTTGTTCCGTCTTTTCTTCGAAAGGAGGACGGCAAGCGGGAGTCGTCGCAGCAGCAGCCGTCGCACGCGCGAAGCCGCAGCGGTGGTATTGGAGCGCAGCATGCGGCAGGGCAACGCTTGGCAGGGCAGCACGCGGCTGGGCAGGAGATACTGTTTCGAGTCGACCTGCTCTGTGGCTCGGGCGAGGCCGGCGAAACGAACCGCGGGAATGCCGCAACGGACGGCGAAGGATCGCGCGGGCAGAGGGGCCGCGCTGCGTCGTATCACGAGACGATGGATCTGGAACTGATGGATTACTTCGGCGATGCTGCGCAGTCATGGAACAACACAGAGAGTTCACACTGCGGCTGCGACTCAGTTAGAATGCTGCCGATTGGAGAGGCGGAAAGGCGAGAAGGGGGATGGGAGAAACGAGTGGATGGAATGGAGGGGGAAGGTGGAACGGAGGAGGAAGGACGAATGGAGTCATTGCGCATGTGTAGCTTAAGTAGCGGCGTGGGGGTGGCTTGTGAGTTGACTCAAAAGTCAACCGAGTCATGGCGCATGTGCAGCTTGAGTAGCGGCGTGGGGGTGATTGAAGGAGAGGCGTTGACCTGTACTCTAGCAGATGCTGGGGAGGAAAGTGCAGAGGAAAGGGGGGAAGGTGGGAAGGAAAGGGAGGGAGGTAGGAGCAGGAGGAGGA